CAGGCCATCTGATGACAGAAACTTGTCAAAAAAGGTCAGACCAAGTCATACGAAAGAAGAAAAGCTCAACCCCCCCCCAAAAAAAAACAACGTTTGAACGCGCATAAAAATAACATCTATAAAACTATACGTTTCTCAAAAACATAGCTGCTAACCCTTCAAAACCAAAAATATTGACTCTATCCACGTGATGGCTCAAGATGATGGGCACTGGACAATGTAACACCCCCTCCAAACCCTTCATACACAGTTTTCTGCATTCAATAAACTCAAACTATTAAAAGCAGACCTGCAACAATGTCCGAAAAGTCTAATAAAGATTTCTCCAACCGACTTATGGGATTAGCCTCTAAGTACCTGTGTGCCAAAATATACATACCATTGAGTCGATCAATTTCCTTGTTCCTCTTTGTGGATATAATGTTCAAGTCTCTTTTCTCATTCTCCAGAAGCTGAATGGCACTTTTGTATTCAAACTGAAAACAGAACAATTTTGTCAATTACACGGAGCCCTAAGACATGATAAATGGTTAACCCTATTAAAACTAAAGCAAAAGCTGGAAAGGCCAACAGAGGAACCAGTATGTCGGGCATGCACATAGCGAACATGCATATAGCGAAACACACACACAGCGAATATATTTTCTGGTCCCTAATTTTTCTTTGGGTGCCTATCCTTTGTGTTTAAAACATGTATATAGCGAAAATGATACATAACTAATGAAAAAATTTCAATGCCCTGCTGTTTTCACAATGTGTATGCTTGACTGTAGACCACTGTCTTCAAGTGTGATACAATTGAGAGGTAGCAGAAAGATTAATTACAATTTTCTCATACTGTAATACACATATGAAATGGTTCACATCATAAAAATAAATTAAACTTCCTGTTCAGCAACTGCATACACAAAAGACATTGGAAGTTGAAAGAAAAAACAAAAAAACATTCTAAGCAATATTTAACAGATTTCCAAATATAAAAACCCAGGAAACTCAAATCAGTAAATTGATAATCAAGCAAACTTCTGAACATAGCACATGGCAGCCTGAACTGAAAGGGACACTATTTTCAAAATAGTCCATGTGCGTAAAAATAACAAACTTTCAGTCAACTATCCCCATGACCTAATAAAGAACTGAAAAAAGAGGAGAAATATTACAAACAATCCCAAAACAATCATCAAAGATAGCCATCAAATAATACCACTAAGCAGAATACCCAAAAGAGTTTTATACGCTTTTTTAAAGCATCGCATCAATACCCCAGCACGTCAAATAAACAGTCTTGTGTAAACTAACGACAAAGATACGAACTTTCAGAAACAGTCACAGAAATTGACACTACTTTCTGAACAATTTGTAAAAGTACAGCTTGAACAAACCTCTGAAGTTTGGAAAACTTCTCTGCTCTCTTGAAGTTCCTGAAGTTTCTTTGTTGATTCTGCATGCTTGGTCTCTGCAGTAGTTGAGACAAACACAAAGATAAGCTTATTTTTATTAGGTAATATCATTTTATATAAAATCAAGCACATTTGAAATATTTTGTATTGAAAAATGAAAGTCTTGTTTCCTGATGATCCTTTCGAGCTCCCCATGTTAAAGTGGGTCAATTTGTTCTAATTTCATTGATCGAACATCTAGAGCTACTAACTTGACCTGTTTCGAAGGAGACGTACGCCTCGGTTTTGAACCAACTCAGCCGTTTCCAGAAGTAGGCCACAAATACACACAAATTCTTGATCAAGCAGACTGACAAACACACACTTGAGCTGCAGGAATAGGGGACCCGACATCACACAGAGATGGTACTTAGTGTGCGTACGCTGAACAAGGACTTGACTGATGTGGGACCAGACGGAAGGCAAGGTGCTGAAATACACTTTATCGGGGAACATAAAATTTATGGTAAACCTGACCCACGGAGGAGAGGGTTTAACAACATTTCTATCAAAAGACACTGTGAGGCACTAAAAAATTATTCTTAAACATACCAAGTTCAGCAAACTTTTCTTGAAGGGTGGTCTTTTGAGCAGTTTCTGTCTCTAATTTCCCAGTTGTTGTAATCAGCTGTTTCTCAATGTCGAAGTACTGTTGCTCTGTGAAAAAAAAATAAGGTTGTGAATTGCTTCATTGATGAATAATATAGATATTAACAAAATTGATCCCTTCTGACATTCTCAACCAAATCATGCCAAATGTCTTGTATACTTGTAAACAACAGCTGGTGTGATTTGCAAGGAACTAAAATGTTTCTTTACTTTTTTCATTTCTATACTCTTGAGTCCACTCCCGCAAACAGATGCCCTATTTCTGTGGGGGGGGGGCAATAATTTATGCTTCAGATCACATATGGCCATTAAAAATGTTGCAAATCAATTTCTCAAGAAAAGTTGAAGCCGAATTTACAAAATTCAAATTATGAGGAGAAATTTCACCCCCCCCCCTCCCAATGGTCCAAAGCATGAAAAATTACAATGCAATTTTGATTTGCTGTTTCCCATCCAGTTGGTTTTTGTTGTTATCAGTCTCTAGAGATCTAGATTCTAGTACATCGAAATTAAGCTTAGAATCTAGCCTTATATAGTTTTATAACAAAAAACATCAAATATTCTTAAAAGTGAATCATTTGTGACGATAAAAAGTCAATGTTCAAGTGAAGCAGATAAAAAATAAACACGGCAAGAAAAGTGCTCGATCTAAATTTAGATCTAGAATCTGAGCGAGATGATAGTGAAAGTGAAATTTAATTCCTCATAATGTAGGCCTACCTCTCTCTCATGTATGTCTATAAAACCTTAAAAAGTATTGCTTTCATGTGTTCTGATGAGGACAAAAACATTCTTACCTTTTAAAGTTATAAAGCCAAAAGAAGGGGTTGTAACATGTTAAATTTGACAAGAAGACAAAAAACTGAACTGGGGTAAAAAAAAACCAAAGTGACTATTTCTCCGAACGCTCAGGAAAATAAAGTTGAACTTTATTTCTCAGAACGGTTTCTGATCCTGAGATTTTTTGTTTATTTGCGAGATTTAGGCGTCATCCTTTCATTCTGCGAGGACTGGGAGGAAGCATTTTTTGCATCGCATTCAATTTCTAGAATTAGAGATTTTTAAATGTCTGAATGTTCAGATACTTCAGTTGTGTTTGGGGCAACGTTCCCGGACTATACTTCATTTGAAAATGGGAGTGTATACAGACCCGGTAACCGGGAACAAAGTCATAAAGTATACAGACCCGGTAAGGGAACTCTTGTGATTTCTGAGAGTTTCAGCGCCCTCTTTGCTCAGGGTAGACCTAGGTTCTTCTAGATCTATGGTCTAGATCTAGATCTAGGCAGACAGATTTAAATCTTTGATCTAGTTTCGCGGCTAGCCTAGATCTAAATGAAGATTGCGGATGTCTTTTCGATGAACGATCGTTATTCCTCCGTTTTGGAGGTGGAGGAATCACAATTTGAAGAAAAGAACAAGTTACAATGTCATAATTTCAATCGAGCAGCCCCCCCCCCTCTCTCTCTCTCTCCTCTGTGTATCGCTCGCCTTCTCTTTTTCTTTGTTTGTCTCTGTCCTTCTTTGTTCCCACCTATTTCCCACTCTATCTTTCTGTCGTTCCCTCCTGCCAACTGGGGCATGTCATATACATTTTGCTAGCACCCCCCCCCCTCCTCTCTTTCTCTCTCACACACACACACACACACACACTAGATTTCTACCGGGTCTGGGGGCTGAAACTTCCCGAAATCATAAAAGAGTTCCCCTACCGGGTCTGTATACTTCGTGACTTTGTTCCCGGTTACCGGGTCTGTATACACTTCGTTTGAAAATACCTTCTAAAGGTACTGCGAGAAAACAAGACTGCTTGACTTTAACAAGTAACCTATTTTGCACTTAGCCACCCAGGAAAAACTCAAATCCTTCATGTAAAAAAAGTCCCGCCACCCCCCCCCCCCGCCACTCTATTCGCTTATTATTAACAATATCTTGAGAACGGAAACCGTTCGGAGAAATAGAGTTCAAGTTTATTTTCTCGAACGTTCAGAGAAATAGAGCCAGCCCAAAAAAAATCTGGGGGGTTAGATTTTAAGGCGCAATTGTTATTCGCGGGTTTTAGACCCAAGAGTAGGAGGCTGACCTAAAGTAAAGGCTAAGGCCCTAAGGCTAATAGGAATAAGGTGGGGGGTTTCAGGGCCCCCTGAATTCACCATAATTTGACGTTTTGCAGTTGTTAGGTTTGATATCTTAGCTCGCCGCGCATCAAATGTATAGATCTAGATCTTGGCTCAAATAAAGAGGGGGTGGGAACTACCGAAAAAGCACCGATTTTAAACCATAATTTGATACTTTACATTTAGAATCTAGATCTAGAGAATCTAGATAGATCTAGAATCTAGATCTAGATATCTAGATCTAATCTAGATTTTAGATTTGAAATTTTCTTGAAAAGAATTGATCTGCGACAGTTTTGGTGGCTACTTTGTGTGATTTGCAGCCAAAATGCAGCAAACAGTACTGCAGTTTGACCCCCGAAGCAGTACATCTGTGTGCGGGAGTGAAAGTAAAAATTTACCAAGTGTACCAAAACGTATACCCTACCAAATATTACGAATATAAACATAGATCTAGATCTAGTCTAGATAAAGACTAGACTCTAGAAGATGTGTACTATTTCAACATCAACAACAATCGAAAAACTATACTATCAACAATGACAATGGCCGGCTGGCGGCATGAGAACTCGAGATGATGTCGAAAATGCTGACTTAGAATTACCTGAATTAACACGCAGCCTCTCATACTTAGATTTGACAGCATTCAGTTCTTCAGTTTTGCTTAGAAGTAGAGAATCTATTTTCTCCTTGATCTCTCCGGGTATTCTTTCTATTTCTGAATCATCCAGGGATTTTGAAAGTTCTATCCCCGCCATTGTGAAAGTAATGAGCAGCCATAAACTCAACTCAGCAGTAAAGTCGAAGCAATAAATTTCCGTTTACTGCTACCTGAATCAAGCGTCAGAGTATTGAAGATTCTTCCTGTTTGAATTTACTGAAAAGCCTTTGAAACCATTGAAGAAAATGGGTTCACTGTCACAACAGGCACACCCTCATCGTTAAGACTTCCCCCGTAAGCTACAGCTGTGCACTGATAACTTTTCAATAATTGATCCACGTATTGGCAGCAGCAGTTATCAGCAACAGAGTAGTGCTCGTGTGTGGTAAGTTATCTTAAAGCTTTATCACACACCTCTGAGATGTGGATTCTCTGTGTTGACGTTGTTCTGATGTTGACTGCTACTTTTCTGTGAAGTTTCCGAAAGTTTCCAGTTAGATTGGTTGTGAGCGTGACAAATCAACTGTGTGTTGGGCCATCATGAATATCCTGTTTGTGTTGACAATGATTTTTTCTATTAGATCTAGATTCTAGATCTAGATATAGATCTATATATATTTTTCTTTTATAAAAAAGTGGTCTAGACTCTAGTTTCTCTAGATCTAGATTGTAGATCTAGAATCTAGATCTAGATATCTAGATTATAAGATCTAGATGTAGGTGGGGAAAATGAAACACTATTTCTAGATCTAGATCTAGATCTATATCTAGATCTCGAAACCCATTCATTCTTATTATAGGCCTACTTTATCGATAGAACTTTTGTGTCAAACTGATGAGACTGACAATTCATTTCCTAGCTCATGGAGTAGGTTACAAAGTTGGCCTAGATTAGATCTACTTGCTTGCTGTACATTCCTGTCTCCATAAGTTATGGCATAAGTATAGACTAAAGAGTCATCCTTAGCCCTAGCCCTGATTCGCTACCATAGACATGCGACTACACCCAGGGCGTAAATCGGGCTATGATTAGCTGATTAGCCGAACCTTTGACCCTTGAATACATTTTAAGTAGGCCTACGGTAGGCTACTCTTGGCGCTCTCGACGACACCCTCCTGTCACTGTCACCACCCTCCCTCTGAACATGCTTTCTGCCCCCCCCCCTCTCTCTCTCTCTCTCTCTCTCTCTCTCTCTCTCTCTCTCTCTCTCTCTCTCTCTCTCTCTCTCTCTCTCTCTCTCTCTCTCTCTCTCTCTCTCTCTCCCCTTCCTTCTCTCTCTTTCTCCCCCTCTTTCCCAAGGTAGGGTAACAGATGAAAAAGTCTGTAATTTGTAACATGTATAATTACTACTAGATTCTTCTTCTTCTTCTTTTCTATTTCTTCATCTTCTTCTTGTTCTCCTCCTTCTCCTCCCCCTCCTCCTCCTCCTCCCCCTCCTGCTCCTCATCCTCCTCCTCCTGCTTCCTCTTCTTCTTCTTCATCTTCTTCTTCTTCTTCTTCTTCTTCTTCTTCTTCTTCTTCTTCTTCTTCTTCTTCTTCTTCTTCTTCTTCTTCTTCTTCATCTTCTCTTCCTCAATTCTCCTTCTTCTTTTTCTTCTTCCATGAGCGCTCCAACCCGCTGTGAGGAGATGGTCAAAGGAGCGAGACCGAAACCGGGAATTCCCAGAGTACCGTAAGCCTACTTAATGTATTCATGGGTCACAGGTGCAGCTAATCGTAGCCCGGTTTACATCCTGTGTGTAGTCGCATGTCTACCATAACGACCGTAGAGTAGTGATCATGGGTTTGTTGGCAAAGTTAGGATAGTCACAGGGTTATCATTTCCTTCCAGGTGGGAGAATCTAATATTTTCTTCCGTTTAGGCTTTCATAATATATGTGATCTGAAATAGTCTAGGTTCAAACACATTGGGAATGATTGTTTTTTTTCCTTATTTCTGTTGTTTTAGAAGTGCTGTTTTTGCCCAACTGGCATTTTTCCGCAGGTTTGGGAATTTTTATAGAGTTTTTTGGCTCATCACCTTTCATGCCCATTAAAGAACACATTTCTGAGTGGATTTTACTGAAAAGCGTGGATTCAAAATACAAAAAATGTAAATTTTCAGTTTCCACGTACTCTCAAGATAAAAAGAAATAGCTAAACTTTGGCCGCCATTTTTTCACTAATTTTGATTTTGCCTCTGAAACCAGGCGATCCCCACCTTCTTCAATCGCCAGTGTCTCGACTTGTATTCAAAACAAATGGATTTTTTTTCATTAGAAGCAAGACAAATGAACTAACTTTAAAGATAATACCTCTATAACTCCATAGTCCTATGTCAAAAAATTGACGAGAGCCTGATTCCACTGCAAATTAGTCTACTTGTTTGCTGTATATTCCTGCCTCAATTGTGAAGTATAGTCATCCTTAGCCCTAGCCCCGATTAGCTACCATAGCGACCATAGTGTAGTGATCATGGTTTTGTTGGGAAAGTTATGATAGTCACAGCGTTATCATTTCCTTCCCGGGGAGAATCTAATGTTTTTTTCCGTTTAGGCTTACATAATGTGATCTGAAATAGTCTAGGTTCAAACGTATTTTTGTTGTTGTTGCTTTTTTCTGTTGTTTTAGAAGTGCTGTTTTTGCCCAAGGATCAGTAGGGTCAGTGGCGGTGGGTAGTGAAGGGCTTACGGGCTTGAGCCCCTCACCCCCACCCCCTCCCCACCCTAACTCTATCCCTTAGTCAATGAAAATTTCTTAAATAACGAAATAAGCAGTTGAAACAGTTATGACCGCACGCAATGAACTCACAGTGATCAACTTGGCGGCTAGCCCGTTTATCCAATCATTGTTGTCACCGCTTACAACTATAGTAACCTAACAGCCAATCAAATGTCGTTAGGGCTCAGAAAGAATAAGCCGGTTCCCACGCCCGTCTTTAATGAAACTCTTCTTGTAAAAAAGGTAGAAGACTTTTAAAAAATAACACTGCACAGAGGGCTCACGCTCTCCCAGCCCCGACAATGGGGTGAAAGTTTACGACACACTTTTCCCCAGTGACATGATACCTAGTGCCCATTGGGCGTTTGTAAGGCGTGTTCTATTTTCCGCAACAACATGACGCAATCCACCTCATAGACGGTATATGTTTGGAGTACTGTGTGTTTGTGCCGCTGAGATTTAACAGTTATTAATTATATCAAACCACTTTCGAGGCATCTTTTTCTTCAGATAAAAACTGATTAGAGAACTTTGGAGGTGAAACGGCTTCGTCCCCACCACCCAGAAGAGCTTAAATTTAACTAAGAACTAAGAGACGGAAAACAAATGTGACTCTTCTGGTTTGAATGTCGGGAGTATAGAAAAAATCATCACAGTTTTGTTCCTATTGCTTGCTTTTTGGTGGTAAAGAAGTGGAAGAAACCTAAGCCCCACCCAAGTCTTGGTCCACCCACCACCACTGAGTAGGGTTGAGATAGCATAGAGCGATCACTTTCTCTTTTTGTTCCCCTGACTTAGTTCTACCATAAGTCTGGTTGGTCGTGTAGTCTGCTAGCTGTCAGTGATGTGTTGTACAGCTACAGTAGTTAGGACACCTATATATACTGCATTTTAGAAGCATATAAGTTGCCCACTATGTGATATTATATCACTTTACCGTACATTTTTGTGTGTAGTAAAAATTATAATTTATAATCAACGAGTGGACGCATATGTGAGGCAGCGTGGTGAAATCAGGCGCTCGTCAAAATAATAAAAGTGAAGAAACTGGCATTTTCCCACAGGTTTGGAAATTTTTATTGAATTTTTGTTTTTTAGCCCAACACCTTTCATGTTCAGTAAAGATCACATTTCTGAGTGGATTTTACTGAAAAACATTGATGAAAAATGCAAAAAATGTAAATTTTCAGTTTCCACGTACTCTCAAGATAAGGAAATAACAAAACTTTGGCTGCCTTTTTTTCACTAATTTTAATTTTACCTCTGAAACCAGGCGACCCCTACCTCCTTCAATCGCCAGTATCTCGACTTGTATTTTTAAGACAAATGGATATTTATCCATCAGAAGCAAGACAAATGAACAAGCTTTAAGTTGATAGGCTAACTCCATATATATATATATATATATATATACACACACATATATATATATATATGTCAAAAATTTGACGAGAGCCTGATTCCACTGCCTCGTTACACACATTCTGTTATATTGGCTTTCATTGTATTGTCCAATTAAGAATGGTCTTTCATTTTAGTGATCATAGATTATTGCCATGACTGAGAAGGAAAAGGGAAAGCTGTTCAAGATTTTTCAAGAAGTAATTTTACTTTTTTTAGGCTGCTCTCTATTAAGCTTGGCTTATAAGGTGGCGTCACCATGGATTGATGTGGGTTGGAAGTGTTTCAGCATTGGAACTTTGCATGTTTTTTTGTCTTGAAAAGAAAACCTCTTGTTGGTATGTGTATTGTTTACACATTGTCATAGAAATTATAAGTTTATATTTTCAAAAAATTTAACCAGCTCAAAATGACTTTAAATAAAAACAGGGAATTTTAAGACTTGAAAAAATGAGATTGTAAATTGACAGTGTGTCTGGACAAAGATCAGTTTGTTTTTGGTTTTAAGCTAAGCTGTCCTTTAAAAAATTCTTTATATTCCAGCTGTATGCTTAAATCGTTTTTGTCTAATGATTATTACAAAGTGAACTTCTGTATTCAATATACTAATCGTATAATTTTTTTGTTACCATCCTATTAAACTGGTATTCTGGCTATAGTGTTATGGTCATAAATAGAGACAAAGGTAAAATATTGATCACTGAAAATTTTAAGTCGCTGTTATAAAAAGACTTTTCTTCTTTTCTGTCAGATTACCAGTCTCAATAAAGGTTTGGTTTTCTGTCACTGTAGCAAAACTGAAGATTAAAATTTGTCAGGAGGTCATTGTTGTGGAGCACAATCAAATAAAAAGTTCCAGTAGAAAAAACAATTAAATTGCTTCATTTATGATTATGTCACATTGTGCTTCAGTGTGAATGTGCTTTTAATTGGAACAGGTATGTTAACATGTTCTTTATATCATTTAGTGGCCTATAGGCCGAGTAATGATTCGTTTAGCACATCATCTGTTTTGTGTACTTCCTTTCATTGCTTACTGTTGTGTCTATTCAGAGGAAGTTTGTAGAGAGGAGTGTCTCTTTCCTGACTAGTTACTCTTATCATGATAAAGTAGGTTTGTTTTGAAATGGAGCATAGATCTAGACTATCTCAGGAATTCTCAAATGGATGTATTCTGACTCGGAAGAAAGACTTTCAGGAGCCAGGATCAGAGGTGACACAGTCGTGCCAAAATTTTTAATTAATTTGATGTAAGAGAGAGATGATTTAATCAAAATTTTAAC